GTGAGCATCTTCCATAGCGGTCCTCAGCCAATAGTTTAACAACAAACAAACTCAAATCGCCAAAAAAAAGCAAACCTAGAGACTACCCTCAGCTTTACTTTTCCCTTTCTTCTTTCTCTGTGAACTGAACGCTGTTTTTACAGACATAGAAACATTGAGAGAGAAGAAATCTGGGGAGTGTATTGAGGCTGCTGAGTGAAAGTTCATGATCTAGTAAGTGAGTGATGGTTTGTGCTTGGCACACTTTTCAGTTTTCCTGTTGAGCAAAAGTTTAATGATGGTATTGTGATTATGCTACTGAAAAGATAATTCTAATCCACAAATTACAAAGTGCAAGGGGTTCTGTTCAGATATAGAATGTAAAAAAAAATAAGATCAGATGACCTTGAGACTGCAGCCCAGAGATTTGGAGACAGCAACATGTGAGATTAGTAGATTTCTCTCAAAAATAGTTTTTAATGATTTTAAGAAGCTCAGAGTTTTTTATTGTAGGGTAGTCCAACGTTATGTCTCCTCCTTCCCCTTAAAGACTATTGCAGTGCTTTTTGTTAGGATAATTTCAATAACTTTGTAGTACCTTTTACAAGATTGCTGAATTATGTTCTTAGATTTTATCTGCATTTTAGCTTTTTCTTTTTTTTTTTTTGGTAAGCTGCACTGAAAACCAAAGGGAAAATAAAAACAAATCCTGCCAAAGCATGTGAAAATTAAATAGGCAAAGATACATTCACTCTCAGTGTAAGGATGTGTGTAAATGACGTAAGCACAAAGCAAAGAAGGGATAACAGAAAGGCAAAAATAACTGCATGCTTATTTTTAATCTCTGTCTAATTTTGGTGGAATTGAGTAAAGCCTGCTTGAGAACAGGTGACTCAGAGTTGGTGAAAATGACAAAGTCGTGGTAAGGATTATATGAAGTTAATGCCACACTTTGATCATTACACTTTGCTTTTCTAGTTCACATTCTCTATGATGCGTCACACCTTGCTAGTTAGTTTAACTTACCAGTTTCAGCTGATACTATCAGTCAGAATGAAGAAAGTATTTTGAAAATTTCAGTTAAAAGTTTTAGGAAATAAAACTTGCATCATTTGTGTTTTAATACAGTAATAAAATAGGAAAAAAAATCCTGTATATATCCACTGAAGATTTCACATGATTATTTTAAAATGTGTAATGAATAATAGTGGTAGTTTAAAAACACATTTCATCAGTATAAATTGTCATCTCAGAAGCCACTCCATTACCATATTTTTAGTAAACATACCTGCAGTGGAAAGGAAATAGTCTGTGTGTTTGCAGTTCTTAGAAATTACTCTATTTACAACGGTAAATATTAACTAATTTCAGTGAAAATAAGTTAGCTGTTGTACAAGTAACTTCAGAAAATGTGGGCTAGGGATTGAAATTAACTTGCATGGTAGTAACAGAAATTATTTCTTACAGATGTTAATTCTTCAAATGAATTTACTTTTTTTTTTTTGCAAGAAGCTTTTGCAAATAAGGCAGAGTAATGATGAAGTAATCACTAATATTAGTGATTATACTCTTAATAAAAATTGCAAATCCTATTTTAAACTTTGATTGTTGACTTGGCTATTCAGCTGCCATAAACTTCCAAAGACCAGAGCTTCAGATTGTCTTGTTTCTCAGGACTGTATACTTTTTTTTTTTTCCAGTTAATATCTAGCAGTAGTGAAGAAAAAGCATCTTTATTTTCTGTAAATTAAATTTAAGATTATGAATTGGACTTCGAGCTAATTAGTTTGTCTGTGCAGGGAGGTACAGACAGATAGTGACATAATAAGTTCTTGAAGTATTTGTTTATAGGAAGATTGTAGGTGTATGCAGCGGTGCGATCCAACTGGGATCTCTGTCTCGTTAAGGTAATCTCAGTGCTCCACACTTAAATTTGAAAGATCAGCTGGCATTGAAATACTACCAGCATTGTGGTACTGAGTTTCTTCACTAAAGAGCAGGGGGAGGACAGGAGGGATGTTAGAGCTTTACTGACTTTGCAAGAGAATACATCACTGCTTTCCCCTGGTCAGATTTGTATCATTTGAAGCAGCCACTACATACTACACTTCAGGGATAGTACTAAGCAAAACCAGTTTTATCACCATTCGAATACCTATTTCAGCATACTTCCAAGTGGAGCAAGAGAACAGCATTTGCAGCCTGCCTTGAAGGCAAGTACGTTTACACTGTTAGACAAGCAAGGAGGGAATGAATTACAGAATGCGAACACTCTTAACAGAGACCTTCTTAATCTCTGATGAGTTTTATTGTTATTAAGTCTGGAATGGGAACAGATACGTGTTCATGGATATACGATTACCAGAGTGCTATATGCTACCACTATGCATGCAGTCACGCACCATGTGTGCAAAGAGAAAGAGAAGAAGGGATTCATTAAAGCATTCATGTTTCTAATGGTGTTAGCAAGGGCAGATTCATAATAGTTATCTAGTACTCTGAAATATATTCTATTCCTGTAAATGAGGGGTAGACATGTACAGTGAGGGTAAAAAGCATCATTAATATGGTGTTGACACTGTAGAATTTAATGTCCCTCAATTTAAAGCTTTGTAAAACTTAAATTTCTGAAAAATCCTGTGTTGAAGTATTCAGGTACATACTTACCTGCCTTTGTTTCTGATGGTATTGAAGCTGGAAACAGCCAGGGAGAATTACCTGATGCTGAACGCAAACACTCCAGTATTGAACAGTAGCTCCGAGACCCTTGAAGGAGATTGCCTCTGTACTCTTCCCACAGAGAGCTGGGATGTGCCAGAGCTGCCTTTTGTGAGCTGTGTTTGAATCTGTAAAGGTGCAAAAACATGATATGAGGGCTTAGGGCTGCCTGGAGCCTTCTAGCTCTTGGAAACGTACCTCACTCCTGTTGCTGGTCATCCTCTGCCTTGTCACTCTTAAACCATGTTCTGTGCAGTGATAGTGAGGTCGTTCATATATCTGGAGTCTCCCCAGATGACACTGGGAGAGGTTGAGTGAGAAAAGATGGACCTCTTCTGAGGGAACAGCTTTCATGAGCTCACTCAGCATGCTGTTCTCCTCTCCCCCAAACCGCTTATTTCCCTTCTCGGTTTGGGTGTCACCTGTTCTTCTGTTACTTGATATGGAACCTTGTCTTCTGTCCAGGCCCTTCACCTTCATTATGTGTTTGTCTGACCGTTTTTCAACTTCTACTCTGCCGCTCAGGCTGCTCTCCTGGTGAGCATCCACCTGTATATGTATATAACTTACTTTATTCAAAAGTGAAAAAGCAAAGTCTCTTCAGAGTTGTTCTACTTACTTATGAGAAATTAACCTTAATTATCGAGGGCTGGTTAGCTCAGTCGGTTAGAGCGTGGTGCTGATAACACCAAGGTCATGGGTTTGATCCCCATTCGGTCCCCATGTGTTGCCTGATCTAGTTGAGAGGTGTCCCTGCCCATGACAGGGAGATTGGATTTAATGATCTCTAAGGTCCCTTCCAGCCTAGGCCATTCTATGATTTGAGGGAAATAAACAGTGATATCTTAATGAGACTCATTGAATCTCTAAGTAAATAAAGAAGGCAGAACATTTGATTGACCTTCATCTTTGCAGTAGAACTGGCCTTCTGCTGTGTCTTCAGGTGATGCAGATGTTGGAAGCTTATGTGGCACTTGTTGCAGACAACTGTGCTATCAGTTTATTATATTTATGGTAGTCATTGCATGAGCTTACTGTTGCGCTCTATGTTTCTACTGCTACATACGCTGTCAAGTTAAGTTTTATTGGGCTGCTTTGTAATGTTCCGTCCAAGAAAGCTAGTAAGGCCATGTAGCTCTATTGCCAGTGGCAAGTAATTAAAACCCAGTTGTTTTCCTTTCTGTTCCAGGCCATTGATGAGCCTCCCTATCTCACAGTGGGCACTGATGTGAGTGCGAAGTACAGAGGAGCCTTCTGTGAAGCCAAGATCAAGACAGCAAAAAGACTTGTCAAAGTCAAGGTATGTGGTTTTCCTGCAAATAGAAAAAAAGAAAATCATCAGTGTTCAAAATAGCAGTGTGAAACTTCTTTACAGTCGCTAGACAGCTAAGCTGTTGTCCTTTATTTGGAGGCTGGTCGTGCAGTCTTTGAAATAACATTAAGCTTATTTTTGTAGGGAGGGGAAGGGTTCCCCCCTCTGACACAATTAAATACATGGTTTCTTTCACTGCTTTGTCATCTGCTTGCATCCAGTGTTTGTGGCCTTGAGTAACACAGGCTGATCTTAAAGTAGATGTTCAAGATATGGCAGGTGTAGGCTTATGTATGGGAGAATGTTATCAGAAAATAGTTAAAACTACTCAACGTAGATCTGATATGGTTCCTTTTACTTTAGGAGCACAGGTCACCACTATTTAGCAGTGGCAACTAGATAATGCTTCAGGAATAAGATGAAACCCTGCTGTCTTCCAACAAAGACTTGGCATATTGAATCCTACTGCATAACAAGCAGGGGATCTCACCTAATCTTTATTATGGCTAGTTAATGACTGAATGAATCAATACAAGCTACATGCAGCACAGATAAAAACTGTGGAGAGGGAATACTTGAGATGCATTTTAATATTCCTTGAAAATTTAAAGTATCATTTCTAGAAATAAAGATTACAAGATTTGGGCTTGGTTTTATTATATACTCTACACTGCAAAATAGCCTTATATTTCTGTTTGGATAATATTGCCCTAAAAGCTTCTAACCTGGAAGCAGGTACTATTTTTCTGCTCTGCCTCTTAACCCCATGCAGAAGTATAACAGAGCAAAGATCAAAAGCACTTACAAAAAAATAAATTAGATTGTTGCTCTGCAACAGAGTTATAGTGGCAGAATATTCTTCTTATTTACTGTAAATATATAACTGAAAACGTGAATTGTGAGTGGTGATAACCTGCTATAGAAGACGCCTCCTATGTAAACTGTCATGCATTGCTTAAATCTGCCCTCATGCTATGGCTGATTGTTGCCTAGAGTATGTATGAGGGAGGGTGCAGGCTGTCTCCAAAAGCCCTGGTGGGAAGGACTTAATTGATAATAACGTTAACTATAATGAGATGATGTTAGTCTTCAATCTGACATCTTTAAAAAGCCTTTAGAGCAAATTAGTGGTCTTTTCACTCTTAACATCATCAGCTGCTCTATGCTTTACAGCACCATTGAGTTTCAGCAACTAAGTTTTGGTATTTAAGCTGTTAAGTACCATTATTTGAGTACAGGAATTGTGCCTAGATCAGTAGAATCTTAACTCCTTTCAACTCTTTACTTGTTAAATGGCCAATTGCAGTTAAGGCTGTTTTCCCTTGTTTGTGGAGGCTGTGCCTAAAGCCCCGTGGATTCAAGTTGGGGGGTGTGTGTGTGTCTCTGTGTGTCTCTTGTGTGGGTGTCTGTCTCTTGTGTGGGTGTCTGTCTCTTGTGTGGGTGTCTGTCTCTTGTGTGGGTGTCTGTCTCTTGTGTGGGTGTCTGTCTCTTGTGTGGGTGTCTGTCTCTTGTGTGGGTGTCTGTCTCTTGTGTGGGTGTCTGTCTCTGTGTGTCTGTCTCTGTGTGTCTGTCTCTGTGTGTCTGTCTCTGTGTGTCTGTCTCTGTGTGTGTGTGTGTCTGTGTGTGTGTGTCTGTCTTTGCTGCTACTGTATAGCTTAGGTCAGTTGTTGTCCTGTTAGTACTGTTGCTGCTTTGTGCTATGATTCGAGATTTTTTGTGTGTGTGTGAGTGCAGCAGCTATCTGTTTGCATTGTCTTTCCTCTACCAGGAACGTGCATTCCCTAAACTTAGCAGTGACCCCTTGATTTTCTCTAAATATCTTTTCAGCTCTTTCTGACACATACAGACTTTCCCCAGTACTAGCTCTAACCAAGATTGTTATTATCAGGTGTACTTTTTTTCTGGAATTTTGGTAGTTTATCTGTTGTAATTTGTTTTTACTTGTTTAACAGTTTCTTCTGGCTCAAATATATTTTATGCACTAGTCTGCTGGAACTACTAGAGAAAAGGGAAAGTCAATTAACTTCATAACATCAGTTTTAGTCTGAAGCTTTCATTTAGGTTTTGTAACTAGATACTTTGTTGAGAAAGGGGAATGGCGACAATTTTTTTTTTTTGATACGGAGTATGTCATCTTCAGGCAAGTAAAATATATTTAGCTGTGCTTCTTTTTACATCCTTTCTTCTTCTGTCAAATTCTGCTTCCTAGAATATTTTGAGGGAGCCCTTCATAACAACTTTCCATCACTGGTATAGTTTAATAGTTTCAATTTAACACAAGTGCTATGTGTCTATCATTTCAGTCTCAATAGGTACTATACTTCACAGTTTAGCAGTCACTGGTGGGTTCTGTACATGGTACAGAATTTTACATTATCAATGTAGCTGCATGACACACTTTATCACAGAAAGCAATAAAACAAGATTTGCCTGGACTTGTGAAAAGCGTGAAGGTGGTACAAATTTGATTAAAGGGTAAGACTTTCACTCTTAGTGGTAGTCCACTTCAAATTTGTAGGATCAATTGTAGCTTTCCTTAGAGAGCTATTGAAGCCAGTTTATTTTGGCAGTGTCTCCTAAAACAATTAGCACCATCATTCATAGCCACTTGTATTTGGGCACCCTCCACAGAAGTTTCAGAAGAAACTTTTCTGTGTAGGTCTTTATTAAACAGAAACTAGTGAAGCATCTGTTGTATGGAGCCTACCAGGACTGTCTCTTCAGGATGGTGAAGAAAAGGAAAATTCCAACTGAGTCTAGATAGGTTGATGTTGTGCTGGTGAATGTCTTAATCTTTTACCTGGGACAGAAAGGATGCACTGTAGCAGTGTGTTTCATTTACCTTTCATCATAGTCCATCGTGGCAGGCTCTGTTCTGGATAGAGTTCCTTTTTGTTGTAAAATACATTTAAAATAATTACAGGAAGTAAATAAAAACAACATTTCATATGAGCCAGTAGTGTCACAAATGTCAGATTACTTTGCATCTGCACTGAGCTTTTTGTTTTCTAGGTAAATCCCCCAAAAGAGAGGAATAAGTACCTGTATCCATGAAGCTGAGGTTCAGAAGGGTAGTCTTTGCTCAGTTATTTCCTAGCCTGAAACCTGCTTTCAGATTGCAAAGTACAATTTTGGCTATCTGGGGGACAGAATGTATTTGCCGTCAGTAGGTGGGATGATGCTGCTCTAAAAAGAATGTTGTTTTATAGCAATGTATTTCTGTGGTTTTCAGATGACTATTTAATGAAGTAGCACCTGAAAGGCAGTAAAGCATTTTAGCGCAATTGTTATCTAATCAGTCAGTCAGGGTAGTCTCTCCTGAGTCCTGCTTGCAGGTACTGTTCTCAGCTGTTCACTCCTTTCAGGGTTTACAAAATTCATTAAGCTCTCCTCTTGAGGAGACTAAGTAGGAGAATTGGTGTTAGCTAATGTTGTTCTGAAGGAAATTTTGCTGTTGCTGTGTGCTGTGGAGAAATTCTCAATAATAGTGAGAACATAATCTTGGGTACATTCATGAACCAAGTCCTCAGATTTAATGTAAGACTACTGTAATTGAGTTACTGTTATATGGATGAATCTCACTTTACCTTATTATTTTACAGTAGATACTAAATAAAGCAACATATACTGAGTGAGTATGTTCTGGTGAATATTAGAACATTATTTGCGTGTTACTAAAAGGTACATGCGTACATAAAATGCAATGCCAGAGTTTTCTCAGTTTTCCTGAATTTCAAAACCAAGTGGAAATAAAACTTCAGGTGTAATTGATAGGAGGAACCTGTAAGTTTCAGTCATAACTTCAAATTTCCAGACTGTTTCTATTTTCCTGAGGACAACGTGTACAATTAGAGAGACATACAACCAATGATGTGGGAGAATACCTTGAAAATACAGGATTTACTCATTCCACTTCTGAAAGACTGAAAAGTTAGCTATCCATTTACTTCCAAATAAGTAGCGCTGCGCAGGCTGGGCTGATATTAATTGAAAGGCTATTTGGGTTGTTAGTTTTGTTTAGCTGACAGCAGCGTCCCGTACGTTTTTGTGTGTGAGTCTTCCCACTGTGAGTGAGGGGAGTGCATTTTAATAAGCAAACCTTATCATATCAGGTTAGATATAGGGACTAAACCGATTTGATTTTAGAGCATTGAAATGTAAGTATTTCTTAAAAATTATTTGTGCTTCAAAGTCTTGACTGCAGAGATTGTTTTGAGACATTAAACATTGTTGATAAACTGTTGTCACTTTCTTTAGAGGTAGTTCTATTTTGAAAGATAAAAAATATTTTAGAAGCTTCAACAAGTAAGAATTTTTCTCCTTATATTTCTAAATTATATGAATGAAATGGTTTTCAGCAAGTGGAATGATTATAGTGATGAACCGTTATATATGAGAGTAAGAGAAGGGCTATTGACAACTATGTGTGCTTATGCTGCTCAATTGTATCAAGTGATTGTCAGTTGAATTATATTTTTTAGGTAACTTTTAGACACGATTCTTCTACAGTGGAAGTTCAGGATGACCATATAAAGGGTCCCTTAAAGGTAATATATTTGTTTCATATTTTATTAACGCTTTGAAAAGCATTATTTTTCAGTATTTCATATAAAAATGTATATGCATTGTGGGGTGAAAGTGGAAGGTTCAGTTTCTTACAGAGGCCAGATAACATCATGAAGCATAAAAGGCAATGCTGCAAAGCTAGCATTAATACCCTCTTCATGTTAACCTTTTCTTCCTAGTTAAAAGGGATGCAGCATACAGGCTGATGCAAGCTGCTTTGTTCTTTTTGGCCTTAAAGCTAACAAGTTTGGCTGGCTTTGATTTTTAGTCACTGTTGCTTTGGAAAACTCAGCTGGAGGATTTGGTGGGCAAGCTCTTATACAAGAGAATGACATCACTCAAATTGGTTCTTGTTCCCCACCTGCTGGCAGGAAATAATCAGCTCAGTTAGTTGGCTTATTTTAGAGGAATGAGAAGAAAGAAGTTTTGAGGGATACAAATAAATTCAAGTGAAACTGGAAAAGTATGGTGTATTTAACAGAGTAGGTTAGATATTATCTCTGTTTGCTAAATACAAAAGTGTTCATTCCACTGCCAGTTTTAGAAGTTCTAAAGAGCCTTTTGTATTTTAGGTGGGAACTGTTGTGGAAGTGAAGAATCCTGATGGAACATACCAGGAAGCAGTTATCAACAAATTAACAGATGCAAGTTGGTACACCGTAGGTAAGAGAAATAGTTATGTATTTCAATAAAACTTTTAACTTAAAAATAAATCTATGACCTGAACACGTCTTAAGCGTGATGAAAGAAATTTTTTGGAGATGCTTAGGTATTCAAAGTTTATATAAAAACTCCAAAAACCTAAATTTCTTGTTCTGGGTTTTATGAGAAACTATACACCTCGCAATGTGGAATTGGGAACCCAGATAAAGACCTAGTGAGTATAATTGGTAACTGCTTCTTAGATATTTAATATGCTATTGTTAAATACTCTGATGTAAAGTATGTTGTCATACTTCCTTAGAAAAGAAGTGCTTTTTAAACGCAAACTGGAATTACTTAGTTTTCCCCAACTCTCAGACTCAGCTCTGATAACAGCTGTTGTAAAAACAGACATAGCTTGTGTTTTAAAAAAGTCTTTTCGTTTTCACTGTTTTCTGATGTGACATTTCAGACTTTAGATGCTGTATCCACATACCCATAAGCATATACAGCATTTTTTTTCCTTTAAATATTTTGTAAAGGCTTTATATACATGGGTTTACTCTGACCAGAGATCAGTCTGTCTTGGGGAAAACTGTTCAACTTTGGAACGATAACATATATTCCACCTGTGCTCTAGTAGTCTTAAAGGTACTGCAGGAAGCATACCGATTCTTGAAAAACTACATATTCCTCTCCTTGACAAATAACTGGGACATGGGAAGATGAAGACCAGATCTTGAAAGAACCTTAGCCAGACTTAGTTGTTCTGATATATTAAGGGTTGTTATTAGTGAACTGATATTGAGCAATGAAGGAAAGACTGACTCCCTAGTCGTAGTCCTTTCAGAAGGGAGTAGAGCTGGAAGTTTTTAGATAAAACCTTCTAGAACAGTGTTGCAGAAAATATATCTGTTTTCTTGCTGTAGAATATATGAGTAAAAGAGAGACTAAACTAGAATGAGGTGAAACATGACATACAAAAAAGAGAATCAACATTATAGGTAGTGTTTTAATATAGCATGGATGAGACATGAGAGCTTTTAAGAACTAAGTGATATAACTGGTGTTAGAACTGTGTTGTGTTGAAGTGTTTATGCTTCTGAGAAAGTGTGAGGTTAGCACTTCATCAGGAAGAGTAAGATAGGAGTTCATGCAGATTAAATTTGGAAGGTAGGTGTCACAGAGTTACAGCCTGTAAATCAAAGTAGATGTCTGTCAAAAATCCTGAACGTGAATAATAGGAAGAGGAGATCTAAGAGTTGAGACTGAAAACCATATTGTGTAGATAAAAGCAGACAAAAGCGTGTTGACCTTGCGGAATCAGTAAAAGTAGTGCAGCTGCTGGCTGTGTAACGCTGTTCAAAAGAGGGAAGTGACTCTGGCAGTGGCTAATTAGAATAAGCTTTGTCAGGAGGGTGAGTGGAATGAGACTTTGCAGATCTGAGTGAAAGCCCTACTTCAAGGGCTATTTGCCATTTACCAAATTTCAGAATTAGCATGCCTCTTAACCAGCAGAGTTATCTAATGTTGTCCTAACACTTGTTGAGAAATACCTGTTTACTTGCATTTTTAATGATTTTGTGGATGTAATTACTATGATTTGGTCAAAAACCTTGTGAAGGGATGCAGAGATCTGAAGTAGTACTTTTCCAGAAGTTGTTAGTTAAGATGATTTGTGCCAATGCAGCAGTAGTGTAGAATTCAGAGGAATAACTGTTTTGGAGCTGCTTGAGAATTCTTTTAACACTGAAGTATGGGCAGCGTTGCTGTAAGAGCATCCCTGTATGTCCTATATTTGTAAGATGTTGTCTGAATAGAAATTGTACATCAATTTGTTTGTATGTCCTTTTTTGGTGCTACTACCAAAGGAACATAGAAAGTAAATTAAATTAAATTAAAACCAAACAAATGAAAACAAAACCAAAAAACTCAAACAACTAAAATTAGTATAGCATGGTTGTATAAATACATAAGGTGTCCTTAGCTTACTTGCTTGTCCTATAAAAATTCCTCCAAAAAGCTCAAGGTATTCCAGTCCTGATAACTAGATACTCTTCTGTCATTTGTATAAATGTTTCTTTAGAAAGTTTAAGTGGTACTCTTAACGTTTGACTCTGAGGAAAAAAAATACAATTAGGATTGTTTGTTCTACTAAAACAGCAGAATTGTACATGTTCAAAAGTAGACATTCCCTTCTACACGTTTTTTTTTTTGTCATTACATTGCATTTTCTCAGAATTCAGAGTGGTTTTATTTGTATTAAGTTGCCTCTTTTTTTCCTTTCCCTTGAAGTTTCAGAATAGGTATTTTAAAATGCATTACACTTCTGCACCATAGATTGTTTTGCGGATGTTCTACTAGATTAAAATGACATACACAGTACAGCCGTGTGTGCTGTGCTGGCCACACAAGTCCTTCAGGGAGGTGAAGTTTTTTCTTTGAATGTTTTCATGTTATGGAACAAGATTAAGAATATCTCTGGCTGGGAAGAGGCCACAAGTAGATTACTGCATAGGATACGTAATGTGGCTACCTACCTAGCTCTGAATAGGTTTACCTCTGTTGTAGTCAGCTTATCTCTTGAAGTGGATAATTATTTTTTTTTTAAATATCTTGTTATGTAAGGAGACTATTATGTTAACTAACATGAACTGCATTAGGAACCTGCTGTCTTCTACTTCATTTAACCAAGGGAGGGCTTAATTATGTGTTGACTGTTTGAGATGCAGCTCCAAATCTGTGTTTTCTTGTGCAGTTCTTGCCCTTGATACTTTTCAAGAAATTTTTGAAGTGACATATGTGCATCTGTAACTGCTATTTTAGCACTAAACAGTACTCAGCAGTTACTGCAGTACAGAACACAGACTGAGGAATGGTAGTAACAAGGGGAAGTTTGTTCATCAACAGTACTGAATTTTATATAGGGATGAAAAATTCTCAGAGCTAGGTAAAAGTTATTTTCATATCAAATAAATACCAGTCAAGAATTTTGATGTACCATGTTGCTTTTTGTATATTTAAATTTGTAAATGTTGAAAATAAGAGTATAGCACCCACTATCTGAAAGTCACATGAAAATTGGCTGAAAATTAATTTCTCTAATCTTGCCAAGCATCTTTTGCCAGTTGACAGCTATTCTCCTAACACTGTTATTTTGACTCTGGCTTGTGAAAGTGTTTAAATATTTTTAGTTTTCTACCACATGATTGAATTCTAATGAGACTGACAGAATCAGGCTTGGCAGTACTGTTGATGGACAGAAGAGAAGATTTGAATGAAGGTGAAAGAGATGTTAAGAAATTGCTGAAACTTGTTTAACTTACAGTGTAAGATTTTAATCTAATCTTGGGGTAGTTTCTGAGTCCACAGAAGGCTTCAAGGGACAAGATTTTAATTGTTAGCAGTGTTGGGGAGGGGAGAGGGGGTCAGTTCTTGTCTTAGGGAACACTACAAGCATAGCCCAAGAGTTAAAACTTGTCACCAAGTTTTCACCTGTTAAGTACCTGCAGAAGATGACAAAAGCTTACTTTTTATGTGACCGATTTATCAACTTCTGAAGATCCTGGATGTTCTGGTCCATGAATTATCTGCTCAACTACTAATTACCTACGATTCCATTTAACTTATGCAAATGTGTAGTAGCTATGGTGAGACAAGCTTATGCATTTGATCGATCTGTGCAAATGCTTTTCTGGTTATGCATCAGCATCCAGGTACAGCTTTGTTTTAAGGACTGGCTACAGGAATATATACATCTCTTTTTCTGACATCTAAATCAATCATATACTGGTTTTAAAAAAATTTTTTTTTCTTGCCTTGCTTCTTACCTGGTGACAGTATTTGATGATGGTGATGAGAAGACTCTTAGACGCTCTTCCCTGTGCTTAAAAGGAGAAAGACATTTTGCTGAAAGTGAGGTAATTGAAGAATTTTTTATATGACAACTTTTTATTTGGAAAAAATTAGAAGTGATATTTTTAGTACCTCAGTCTTCAGTATGTTATGTACATTTATGCTACAAAAAATGAGGATTATGTAAAATACAGTCTAACGGGTCTGGCTTATTCTTTTTTTATTTATTTTTAATTTTTTATTTCCTTTTTGCTTTTATATTATTAATGGTTCATGGATTGTAGATCACACAAACTGCAATCACACAATTACTTTGCTTTATGTAAAAATTAGCTAAATATTGAAAGGTTAGAAAAAATCAAAACATGGTACATGAAAAATTAATGTACTTCTCTGGATATAATTAAGTTCTGCTGGATTTTAGGTAAATGATCAAGTCTAATTTGTAATAGCTGATAGACTTGGAAGATCAGTACTTTTCTTCTAAAGGGCAAATTATAAGTTGCAGTTAACCTGTTAATTTCAAGACAGTTATCAATATTTTCAAGCTGGTTCATTTATTAAAGGTCACTTGTGTATTAAAGGATGCAGACATTTGTAGCAAATTTCGAATAGTTGAAATTTCAGAATGAGGATTATTCCTTCTTGTTATGTAATACAGTCTGAACTGATGGGCAGATTTGTGTAAACATGTTGGCTTACTGGAAAGCTGCTGAAGACAGGGGGTTTGTTGCTCTACATAAATATGCTCTATTATTATAGTCTGCTGAGCTTGTTGACTGGTTATTGCATTCTTGTGAAGGTTCAGATGCCTTCTAGAATCCTAAGTCAGGATTAAACACGTGTAAAAAAGAGAGCCTAATTAGATGCCTAAATCTGGATTCGGATATAAATGCCATAATGTTAAAGATTATGTTGTTCCATTGATTAGCTCTTTGTTATTAATGATCAGCACCCCTGAAAATTACATTGCTTCTTTTCCATAAATACTATTTTAATACATTTTCAGAAGTATTACGTTATCTTAAACAGTTTGAAAATTTTTGTCTGTGTGTTTTGCTTTGTGACCCATTTGCCTGAACAAGAGTAATTTTAGATTATTTTGTCAGATTCAGAGAAATCTTATGTTCAGGACTCCTACTTTTTATTTTATTATCATTCCTATCATCTTAACTTTTGATGTTTTGCCAAAAGTCATTGATACATTAGCTCTGAATGAAATGCATGTTGTGTGTTTCTAGTAATTACCTCATGATTGCTTAGCTACTCAGCAGAGGAAACTGCATCTCAAGTTTCTCTGGTAATTAGACCAGCGGCATGCGATTGTCTTCTTCTGAACTTGGTTTAGCTTCATCTCTCACTCCCCAAGTCTGTGGAATCTTTTAAGGTGTCCACTACAATCATAAGTAACTATGCATTTACTTTATTGTCTCTTATGTCCAGTTCTCTCTGACACAGAATACTTCTGAGATTCTTGGTGCTTCACATTTAAAAATTCATACACGACTCAGAAGTGTAATTTGGAGGACCATGTTTACTTTGGAAGGCTTTATGCCTTCTTTCAAAGAACAGGTGCCTGTACAAAGAACTTCTTTGTACCGGGAGCCTTCGAATCTGGGATGATTGTAATTTAAACAGGTAACAGCAATCTTAGGGGAAGAAGATACAGCACGTCCATGAAATCTTTCTGTTGATGCTTTACACGTTCTCCCTGAACAGAGAAAGTTCTTTTTTCTCTCCTTTTTTTGTTTTGATGCTAATTAGCACCATTTGAATTTTCAATACAGCAACCTCTTTAAAATTGTTTTAGAATATTTCTCTTCTATGTTAAATTATGAAAAATACAATGATCTTGCCATGTTTGCTGTGATCAAGTTGTCTTGTGGCTGCATTTCGTAGGGGACCTTTGTTCATTTATAAGTAGATGACTGGGTGTTTAGTCTGATGATTAGGCAGGCAGAAAATGCGTCCTGTAGAGATAGAGTATCCTAGGTCAGCAGAGTACCTGATACTTAATTCTCTGTGTTTGAATGGTCCAGAGACAGGATGTCTGCGAAGATTTGTCTGTGTGTGTCAGACAAAAGTTAGTTATTTGGAGGTGGGGAGAAAGCGTTGAAGAAAAACGCAAACCGAAGCACATTACTTTTGAAAATCAAAGCAGTGATGTGTCTGCTGTACTTCTGTATTTCTTGTGCAGTGAGAAAGTCTCTCTACTGACAAAAATTAATTTAACTAGATATTCTTCAAAATGTAAGTTTTTATTAACTTATGCCATTTTTTTAATATGTTTATGTAATTTTTAATTTCAACAGACGTTAGATCAGCTTCCACTCACAAATCCTGAACACTTCGGCACTCCTGTTATAGGCAAGAAAACAAACAGGGGAAGGAGATCCAATCATATGTAAGTTTAACATCTTTATATGCCCATGCTGTCTGTGTTTAATTCTGAAGCTTTCAGTGTGTGTGGAGTTTTATTAATTGTATGTTCACGCTTCTCTTATTCAAAAAACCGGGAAGCTCTATGAAAAATGTTGCTTAGCACTCAGACTGAAAGTCAGTTTTACGTATATTGTTACATGCAAGAATTACAAGTCTTCATGCAGTTAATATTTAAAATAGTACTGGGTATAGGCACGAAGCTTCTCTGTAGTAGAATATTAGTAGTGTAAATGTGTTGGACTCACTAGAATCCTCTTGTAGAACAGTTTCTCATTACAAGGTCTCTGAAAGGCTTTTGGAAGTAAATGGACAATATTATGGTTTGCAGCAAAGGTTATTGATAGAAGAACAAAGTTCAAGTGTAGAGATTTGATTTCCTAGGTGCTAAAATTCTTGGTAGTTGCAGTCTTGAAAAAAATGTGTTAAATACTCCGTTGACTAGTGGTTGTTCTTTGTTATTTGTGAGTGGATGCTGGGTTTGGGGTTGGGATATTTGTGGGGTTTAGTTTCTTTTTTTTAGTTGGTTCATTATGGTTTTCAAGTTTTGAGAGGGTAGTGGCTGGGGTAGGAAGGGAATTTTCATGGTTGGATTACCCTTTCACACTCTGTCTTTGATAGCTTGAAATAAATATTACCATGTATATGTACAGATACTGTACATTTACTCAATTTTTGATTTACTAATTTGTGATGTATTGAAGGAAAAAGATGGAAAAAGCTGATGTATCCTGCAGAGATTGTATAATTGCAGCATCCTTGGTGCATGTGACTGGGTGGTTGTCTTCTCTGTTTCCCCTAACTGCACAGGATGTTGTTATGGCAGAAAGAACACACTTATATTATGATTAATGCTGACTGAACTGAGTAGAAATAAAAATTGCACAGATACTGCTATAAGCTAAGTTGTAATCTCTCTAAGAGAGTCCTGCCTTTCTCCCTACCTTTATTTCCTTTCCATTCCACAAGAGATTCTCAAACCCCAGAAAGCAGTCTGGAAGATGTTTTCATACTGTATTTTAAAAGTAAACTACTTTAAAAGAGGATGTCAAGGGGAAGAGAACCCAATGCTTTAGCAGCACTGTCAATGATGACGTAAAATTAGAGTTGGGAATATGAAAAATGATAATTCACCTTAGACTGTAGCTCGGTTGTCTTCTGTTACACAAATGCTAACTGAGAGTCTTTTATTAACTTTGTACTTAAAAGTAGTTATGTGAAAAATAGAAGATAGTTTTTAAAATTCTGCTTTTTGTCTTCATTAAACACACTGAGAATCAACCTTCAAAGTAACTAGTGAAAAATAGAAATGGAGCACTAGGAGTGTGGTGTTTTGTTTGTGTTTTTTTTTTTTAAGTAAGTTGCAGGCAATTCTAGTTGGAGTAGTTTTTTACATTTAGACTCCCTCTATGGTTAAAACCCGGTGCAACTTTGTGCTGGAACAGTCAAAGCAATGAGCCAGAACCTTTTCTAATCAAAATATATTTGCACCTTTGCCCATCTGCTTACATTCCAACACTTCATGCAATGTGAAATTGAAACAGTTGTTGAAATGCTTCACTGCACATCTTTAAACAAGTGTATCAGGATAAATAGACTTATTTTTCTCCTTGCTGCTATTCATCATCATAGCTGATGTTTCTTCTTCAGAGATTTGTCCTCTCTCAGACTAGCTTTTTATTCTATATAGCTGTTAAAGCATAGAGAGATTAAGAGGAAAACCAAAACAGTTTAGCTTAATGTTGGGCCAAAACTACAACTGCAACAGTATTTTTAAACAGTGCTTCACTAGGGCGAAATTCTCATTTTGAATGTCCTGACAGTGTGTTTCGTTTCTGTTCCTCCGTGTGGATGTATGGTGGTGTTTTGTTTGATTTTTGTATGTTTTGTGTGTACAAGTGCACTTCTGAGTTTGTAATGTTTGAGTAGTTATTATGATATCTTTATTTCTGTTCATTTTTATCCTAAAACACGTAACAGACAGTTCAAGTCGCTACTATTTATGCCTCTTTGAGTTAGCTTTGGATTTCCTGTAATTACAGTAGGCAAGTTTTGAATAGTTAAGTTTTAAGTCTTTTTCTGTTGTTTAGTCCTGAAGAAGAATCTTCATCCTCTTCCAGCGATGAAGATGAAGATGATAGGAAACAAAGTGACGAGTTACTAGGAAAAGTTGTGTGTGTCGACTGCCTCAGTGTGGATAAAAAGAAAGCTCTGTGGTTTCCAGCCTTGGTAAGAGTTTTGTTTTTGTTTTAATTTTATAAAGTTTCATTCATTTTCCAGGCACCAAGAAAGGTGGGATTTTTCCTTTTTGATAGATTAATCTAAATTTTTACTAGAATTCAATATTTCTTGAACTTGGACTGTAAGGCCTTGAACAACCTAGTCTAATTGAGAGGTGTCCCTCCTCATGGCAGGGGGTTTGGATTAGATGATCTCTAATGTCTCTTCCAAGCTAAGCCATTCTATGTTAATAGTCAAAGGAAATGTTATATACGTAAATACATTTATTTACAAAAAATAATTGCTAACATGGCTTTATTTTTTTTCCAAGCAGCCAGAGTTTGTTGACCTAATTCCAGCTCAAAAATGTGTTCAGTACTATTGAGCTAAAATTTCAGGTTTTTTTTTTCCTTAGGCTTATTGCATGTCATTTTTCTGAACTACCAAGTTTTATGAAGAAAAAAAAACTACAAAGAAGTACAAAGAGAGGGGAAGTTTAGTGATTGCGTAGATACTATTTTTCTAGATTCAATGTGAACACATTTGTTAATTCTTTGTTGCTATGGTAGGTAATAGAGCATTGCCAGTAAATTTCCTTTAAAATAGCATTGAGTCCTTTAGTAGAAATATGGTCTATCTTTATTCTGATTTAAAGACACTTTTAAAAAAATAAACTTCTAATACAATGTCACTGTTATTCTCAGGATTTAATATAGACTGACTGATCTATTTGGAAATTACCCATACATGATACTCCCTATTACGAGACTTTTTAATTTTAATTTTATGATTAATTGGTATTATTTGAATAATTTATCCCTGGCAATGGCATGTTTATTTAATTTCAGGAAGACTTGCACTCTGCTTTTGAAAGGTGCCCTAACATAACGTTTAACTCTGCTTAGTGTGTGCAATAGTTCTTGGTCTTGTAATGCGGTCCAGAGACTTTCCAGCAGGACTCGGAAAAGTTAGCAGGATAGAATGAGTCGTTGAGGTCTTTTTTTTCTTTCTTCTTTTTACAACAATGGAGAGGGCAGAACACACCGCAAGAAGATCCCACGTGAATGACAGCTGGCTTTAAGAGAAGTTTTCAGTACTAGGCAAGAGAATCGAGCAGTTGCTGCGCTGGAAGCTGTCACCGAGATGGATGCAGCCTCGGCTGCAGCACGGCTGCGCTCTGAGGAGTCACTTAGGCCGGCTCGAGCCGCTTCTGAGGAGTCGTCAGTTAGGCCAGCTCGAGCCACATCATGTCCCACCAGTGGGTTAGTCCTTCTGGTCATGCACACGACAGCGGTTTCCATGGCAGCGTCGCCAGTAGGTGTTGGGCTTGCATGTGACTAATGTAGTGCTGCTGCTCAGGTTAGCTGTGGGTCAGGACTTAAAGATTAACTGAATTGTTGCTTAGGCTCCCAAAGCATATGAAAGGTACATGCTGTTATTTTTCTGGCTGTCATGTAGACTAGAATAGCTCATTCTTCGTGGAAAACTTCCTGCAATGAATGAGAAACAGTAGGGGGATAAAGTTTGAGGGTGGAGCTTGTTAACTCTGAAATAGCTAATCCTAGATTAACTGTTATTTTAGTAATCAGGTTTATAGCTCTGCAAATACACATCATACTGCATTTAACCTGAAAGCTTGTGCCAAAGAATAGATTTATACCCCAAATAGTTTGGTTTTTTTGATTTTTTTTTTTTTCTTTCCTCTAGTTCTGCCTCTCCATTATTTTACCTTGAAAGCAGGTTATCTCTACTGTATCAACAAAGTAATTTTATCTTATTACTTACAAATTTTACTTTAAATTCATAGTAAACTAGTTGTAATTATGTGAATAATGAAATGAAAGTTCGTTTAGTGTGCTGAAGAATACATGTCCAGAATTACTTTGTTATTAATGATAATGCATACAGATACGATTTGTATATAAGCATGGAGGACATGGTGCAAGTGTATTATTGTGAAAAGAAGTTTCGGGATTAGTCTCAGCCTTTAGAGAAAATCACAGTTAAGACTAGTAGTGGAAACTGATTAGGTTAGATATCAATCCTCTAACTAGAGAGCCTGTCACAAATGTAAAACTCCAGAGGTCTAAATTTGGTAAAAACTACTCTGAGGACTCAATGATTGACTACACTGTTTTAATCCTGCATGCATGTATTTTTGGGCGTTTTGGTTTTTGTTGTTCTTATTGGGAGGGAGTGCCTTGAGAGCAATGGCTAATTTAATTGTAAAAAGCCCTGTCAGTTGCTCCTTATCTCAAAGACTGTGATTTTAGTAAGCCTTATAGCTTCGCTTCATTTTGTTGTGTACTTAAAGGCTTTTGGAAGATGCAGTGAGGAAATTTACTTGCAGCATTTTCAGAAAATTGAGTTTACTTAGGATCATCTCTCTCATCTTTCTATGACTCATTGGCGTTTGGGGTTTTTTGTTGTTTTTTTTGTGTAAGGAAATAGAGAATACTTGATTCAGGCAAAATTGGGGTGATGTTGCTTGATGTAAAGGCACTAGGTGAGATTCGGGTAAGCTGTTTTCCAACCTCTGAAAGGATTTCTGACTACTAACATCTTGATGCTTCTAGAAAACCAATAGCTCGAGTTGGAAGGGTTATTCTGTCTTTGGACAGCTAAGAGGTTGTATGTGTCTATTTCAAATGGGGAATGATGATCACAGTCTTTTACCTTGGTATTAAAACTACATCTCAAACTGCGTAAGTTGTAGTTTTGTAAAGTAATTTCTTTGAAGACTCTAGAATGCATTGAACTTGGAGGCTTAGGCTGTTAAGTCTTATTTTTCTGGAGAAGCATATATAGCCCATGCTCTGCAAGACACAGTTGTTAGCAAATCATTTGGAGCTTTTGATTTAACTAAAATGCTGTATGGCTGGCGACCTTTGTAAGGAGGAAGAAAATTTTTGTCATGCAGTGTCTGTGTGTGTTTGGTGGAAAAAATAGAACTGAAGGCAGCTAGTTTAAGAGAAGTAATTCCAATGGCTAGATTAGGGCTGCTGTCATTTGTGGCTCCTTCGAGTTTTGTAGCAACTAGAAATTTCTTAACTTGCAGGGAACTACATACGGTTTGAGAGAAGAGGGAAATGAGTGATGAATAGGGTTGCCTTTCTGTTCCGTAACTCTGGAAATTCAATACGTATTTTTTTATTAAATTCATGAAGCTTTATGATTAGTGACTTGTATACTGATTTGACAAAACATAAATAGCCTTTAAAATGGCAACAAATCATTGGTATGTTGTCTCAGTGTTAGACTTGATTAGTCTACTTGAATTAAAGAACCTGTGATAATACTTGTACTTGAGGCACTCTTCTCTCCTTATGAATCCTCAGTTGTAAAATTTCACTGCATAAATGGTGCATGCCTTTGTTTTTGAAACTGTATGGTTACATCCTTGCAATTTCTGGAAGTTCTTCAGAAGAGATCTCTATCTCAGCTGGCAGCACTTGATGGAAATTCTGTCCTTTTAGGATGAGGAGTAGAATAAGCTTTAGTGGCATGACAGGTGCTTAACTTGTGTCAGAATGTTGTTCTTACTTATGTGTTGGGCAGCAGCCGTCAGTTCCCTCCAGGAAGTGAGCATGAACTCATGCATTCAGTAATTTCAGGAGGTCATCACTCCTGTGTTTTGAGGGATCTCAGTTGTTCGCATCTCAGTGGGACTGGAGAGAAACGAATCCAAAAGTTTTTTGAGAAGCATAGTATGCACTATTATTCTTTTGTTTTTCTTTTGTGTCTCTCAACTTTGCCTTTGTACTGTCTTTTCAGGTGGTTTGTCCAGATTGTAGTGATGATATCGCAGTGAAAAAAGACAATATTCTCGTACGCTCCTTCAAGGATGGCAAATTGTGAGTAGGAACGTAGAGGTTGATAACTGAATAAAAACTATACCAGTCAAGTGAAGTGTAGTATGAGATGTGTTGGGTAAAGTAATAATAACATCAGTAAGCTCACTAAGTTTCTGCCAAGATTCTTCTAATGTGTAGTAAACTGTTAAGTCTACATTGTGATAAAATTAGTCTTGAACTTTCTCATTACTCATAGCAGGATGCATAAATCTGTCTCAGTTCTAATTTCATTGTTACAATGGTGACAAACAGAGCAGTGTTTCGTGACTTTGAGAATGGCCTGAGACACTTCCATGCTCTAGTTGGGATGGAGCACCTCTTTTCAGAGATGTGGCTGTAAGCTTATCCAGCCACAGGAAGGGGCGGATGCGTGCAGGCACACACATACACCACATGCACACACAGAAGTTCTTGTTCTCTTTTTGAGGTAGTAAAGCACATGTTTCGGTCTGGACTGCGACTGCACGTTATCGTGTTGTTTGAAAAGATCTGTAATACTACTCAAAGTAGGAAAGAAAATAGAGATGCCTAGAAAGCCAGACTATGGTATCTGCAATAAAATAAAGAACTTTGTGTTCTTAAGCCTGTGTTGGTCAGGGAGGGGAGTTGATGGATGACAATAAAATTCTTTTTCCTAGGTTTTAGTTCCTATTTAAAAAGTTGTGGCTATTTATTGTGCTTGGTTCAATTTAACAGAATGCTTTGCAGAAAATATATTGAAGTATTTAACATTTTCATTGAGATTTAATTACTTACCAAGTCTAGGCTATTGCTTTATCATTTGATAGTTTTTCAGGCATCAATGCATGGCACTGGAGAAGCACACACATACGCATGTACACACACAAGCACGTACCCCTCATCCCCCAAAGCAACGGTTCAGATTCACTTTCTTGGCTATAGCTGCAGTAGAAATTTAAAAGTTATTTCAATTTGGAAGTCTTTCATTTCATACTCACAATTTATACAAATATTCATTTATGTTTTAAGCAAGGTAGAGTTCTGTTGTGAGTAGTTACTTGCTAAATTAACAAGGCTTTTGTTAAGTGATATGTGTGTATGTTTCGGAGATGCCAGAAACTACCGGTTGGTGGAGGAAGAATGCTTTCTTTAATATTCAATGCATGCATATGGATGGTCTAACCAAAATTCTGTAGAAGTTTTGTTTTCAGTCTACTGACTGGCTAATAGCATACTAGACTTGTCACTCTAGAATTGTCCAAGTAAGCTTTATGTGCTTCTTCTGTGTATTTACTAAGTGTGTTATAGTCTTAGTGATAACTCTGTGTTATACTGTTTAATTTAGCTTTAAAATACTTTTTTATATATATATATAAATTAACACTTTCTAAATTATTTAGTGTTTCAGTGCCAAGAAAAGATGTTCGGGAGATTACTGAAAGTTCACCAAAGCCAGATGCTTTGCTAAAGCAAGGTAAAATAACTTTTTATCAGAAAACTCATGTATGTATTTACTTTGTTATGTAAACTGGACCAAATTTGCGGCAGATGGGGTCATGTCTTAAAAAATACAGGATATTTTCGTATAGCAAAATATATTGAAGAGGGACACTTCTGAAAATCTAGAGGAACCTTTTTTGAAAGGAAAACACACCACAAAAACTCAAATTAAAAAAACCCCTCTCTGCTGTACTTGTTTTAAATGCAGATATGCCAAACAAGGGGTATAATCATACAGCTTACACTGGCTTTATAGGTATTTAATATTTGGCTTTTTGCATTATATCTTCATAGACTTATTCTCAAGGTAGTACTTCTGATAGTTATAAGTGAGTTGCCTTTATGCACAGTCAAGAAACTGAAATTGTGGATTCATTTGCATGTTTAAGTTTGTGCGATCAAACTTTCAGAATTAGCTTGTGTTTATTTCTTCCTCCTCTTCCCTGTTCAATATAAGTAAACTAGAGCGTAAATCTATTGGAATAGGGGTTCTCTCAATTAAATTTTCAAATATGCCCTTACGCAGCAGATCCTTATTTGTGTCTATAGACAGTAACTTGATAATAATCCTAGTAATAGCTCTGAATAATTTAATGTGCAGAGAACATGAGGCCAGTTTGGCTAGGTGAGACAAATAAGGATGGACAACATAGATTTGTTGTTGAACTTCTTCGAATTTGGGGGTGGAATTATAAATCAGCACTTTTCATTCTCCTCTTGCTCACCCACCTCTGAGTACTTTTTGATTAAAACATTTGTTTGATTAAAACATTTGTGATACTTCCTAGCAGTGCTAACAAATGCTGATCCTTTTACAGCTTTTGACCAAGCCCTTGAATTCCGTAAAAACAGAACTGTTCCTAGTAACTGGAAAACAGAATTGAAAGAAGACAGCTCCAGCAGTGAAGCTGAAGAAGAGGAAGAGGATGAGAAAGAAAAAGAGGATAACAGCAGTGAGGAAGAGGCAAGTGAAGTTAGGAAAGGGTGTGGATGAACAACTGATAAAAATTAGCAAGACTATAATATTTAAGTAGAATGTTGTTAACATAGGCAACATCACTGTCTCTCAGCTTTTAAAATCTTTATTCAACATAGATCAGTTAATGAAAACATCAACTTGAAGATCTTTTCAAATATCTTTGAGTCACTTAGCAAAAAAAACATGTAGTCAAAAGACTGAGTCATTAGAGGAGTAATGAAATATAAAAACTGGAACTCAAAGGAAGATTCTATCTTTCCTATGCTGATCTTAATGCAATGGCAGACGGGGTACAGGAGACTGTTGAAGAATGGAAAAGAGCAACATGGAATGAAAGTACACTAAAGAAGAATAATTTCCTTTAGACTTACTGTATGACTTCTATTACTTATTTTTGGAAACTTTGCAAGTATTAAAAAAGTATGCAGAAAATTAATCAACTTATATTGTGTATATTGTTTTGAAGTAGTTTAGTCATCAGAATTTCTACAAATTCTGATTCTACTAGTGTCATACTGGTACTGTTTGTGACAAGTTGCATTTCCTAAGGAAATTATGAGGTGTTCTAAAATAAGCCATAGTGCTTTGTTATGAAACTCCACTGATTATTATTCTAAGTGAATGTAATGCAAAGATTTATTAGTGTAATGAACTGAACATCCAAAATACCCATGTCTAGCTGCACCCCATGGCAGTATGGATGCAGTGTCGTTGGCTGTGCTTTGCCAGTACTGTGGATTAGAACTCCCAAGAAAGTGCAATCACCATTTTCTCTTTTGCTTCATCCCTGAAAGTGAGCTAGAATATCCAGGCATTAAGGAGTCACTTAACTGTGGTAGAAATAGTCTTGAGATTTTTGATATGATCTCTTGATCATTAATAACGAGGTCTCCCAGGCTTACTGCATAAACGATCAAAATTCAGAATACATCTGGACTTACATCACTTATGATACTTTAGTGATCAATCAAAAACCCAATTTCAGTGTGTCTTTGCAGTTACTGTTTTACGTACTTGGAAAAACTGTAGTTTGTCACATTTCCTTCCACGTATCAGAGTAGTGAGAGCATGTGTCTCTTTGTATAGTATCCTGTTGCTGATTACGGTAAAATGAACTTAAACATTTGAACCTAAATTATCACTGCCATACGTTTCTTAATGAAGGACCGTAACTCAAAGTGGTGATGATTTTCTTGTGTTCCTAACTTAAACAGGAGGAAATAGAGCCATTTCCCGAAGAACGAGAAAACTTTCTTCAGCAGTTATACAAGTTTATGGAAGACAGAGGTCAGCATTTTAATCTTTGGCTTGCAGAAACTGAAGATAGATGTAGTGCTTAGCACTTACTTTTAAAGGATTCAGTCTGTAAGCTAGTGGTGCTTTGCAGTTCAATTTTCGAAACAACTGTATTCATGATTTCTGACTTCCCTACTATTTAGAAGATAAGTCTGTCACTTGACTCTTCTAAAATACAGTCATTTATTCTTGCTTTCAGAAAAAAAAGTAGATATCCTTGTATATTTTCTACAGTATACTTCTAGTATGTATAATCAAAGATTTGATATCCTCAATCATGGTAATGTATGTGCTCAGTTTAATAACTTTAAAATACTTAAGATAAAATTGAACCATGCCCCCACTTTTTAGGATCGTGAGAAAAAACATTTACATTTTGCTAATTTTCTTGTGTGAATCCTGACCACCTAAATGCATTACCATTATCGGTAAAGTAGACTGAAATGTTTTTAAAAGCAAATGCTATTTATTATATTAAATCTTTACCAGGTATTTATACACTACAAGAAAAGCACAGTGTCTCTGGAGGCAGGGATGAGGGTGTTTGCATTTAGATTAGTATTATAACTAGTTAAATTTGTATGGTTTTAATTATATGTGAAGATGAGCTGAGGATCTGTTTATGAGATGACAGTGTAATAGCTACTGCTAGTACAGTAGCATAACAAGTTTCAGGTCTTTGAAACGTTGTGGGATTTGTTCCTGGGGATGTTTTTGGGGTTTTTTTATTGTAGTGAAAGGACTGTGCAGGTATTTTTACGTATAACATGAATAATATGGGTAGCAAGAAAAGTTGCATCATTTGTGCATGTGTAATACATGGAAGAATGTGTATGAGTTAAATTACATTACTGAACTACAGCAGAAGTGGGTTATTAAGACTCTAGTTTCTTTAGTTTCATGAAGAGGAAGTACCAGATGCATGAAGTGATCAGAGGGAGAGGTTTACAATACTATATTTAGTAGTGCATGTGATACAGATTTCATGTTATTCTGAAAAAAAACCAAACTACAATACACTGTAATAACTGTCTTTGTTTACAGGGACTCCTATTAACAAACGACCTGTATTAGGATACAGAAATTTGAATCTCTTCAAATTATTCAGACTTGTACACAAGCTTGGAGGATTTGATAATGTGAGTATTAGTTTGATGAATATTCCAGAGCCATAAAATCTGAGGATGCTGTTTAAACAGTGATAAAGAAGAATCTTAGACAGGAGCTTTAGACATGAAAATTGAATACTACAGCTGCGTAAGTTACCCTGTAGCTCTGAAAATCATGCTTTAACAGGAAACAGAGACGAGTTTTATATTCTAAATAAACTGCACTTCTACTCAGCGTGTTTAATTATTGCTGTGTAAAATCAGCCAGCAGGTGTGGCTTTGCTATATTTCAAGGAATGTTTGATCAACTTGTTACCTCAGAAAGCGAAAAGAATCACTGCTCAATAAAATCTCAAAAGACAAGTAATCTAGTTTAAGGACTGATGTGAGGCCCTTAATTCCTGTATATTCTGTACATAGAAGAGTGTACTGACTGGGATTAGTGAATTGGTCTTGGAGCAGTAATTGAAGCATATGGTATTCACAGCCAAGCAGATTATGTTACTGCTTTGAGCTGCTTCCCATAAATGTAGCTTGTCGGTTGAGGGAGGTATGTTTGTGCAGTGACACCTTTCTGATATGCAAGAGAAGATCTTGTACTTGAGTGTTGCAGTACATCTGCTTTATCTGCACAGATGGTTAGAAATGAGCATATTGCACTGTCACAAAACTTTGACACCAAAGGGCGTGTTAAGGACATAATGAAAGACCGGTAGCCACTGTATCTGGTACAATACTAACCAGGCTGAGTATTGTTAAGCTGAGTAATGCTTTGAATTAATTTTTTTCTTTCCAATTTAATTAAAATTCTAACTCTGGTAGTTAACAATTACACGGAATATAAAATAAAAACAAGATACTGCTTTTTCTGATCTTTCTGTTTTCTTTCCTTTGTTTTATTACCACCTGGAGAGGAAAGCCTGCTGTGGCTTACTGAAATGCAGAAGTGCTAAATTGCTTTAAATAGTTACATTAGACTACAGTTTACGTTATAGTGAAATGCTGTGTGTGTGATAAATACTGATTTTATAGATCAGAGGAAATGACTTATAATTATTTTCCAATGTTGTAAACTTTGTTTAGTCTTCTTTTTTTCTGTCAGTGAGTTAATTCAAAAACCATGACTTCATTTTCATTAACAGATTGAAAGTGGAGCAGTGTGGAAACAAGTTTATCAAGACCTTGGAATACCCGTATTGAATTCAGCTGCAGGATATAATGTTAAATGTGCATACAAAAAGTAAGTAATAAAGCTATAAAGTTTATGCTAAAATGCCACTAGAATGAGCTGAAGTAATCCTGTGGTAGTGGTAATGTACATCAAGTCTATAAATTCTCTGCTATAATACAGTTTTTTAGGCTTTAAAGTTACTGTTCATGTCTAGCTTCTGCTAGGTAGCATGTTCTTTCTTGAAACAAACTTGCTTATTGCAAGCAATTTTTTTCTTTTAGATACCTCTATGGTTTTGAAGAGTATTGTACATCAGCTAACATTGAATTTCAAATGGCATTGCCAGAGAAAGTGACGAGCAAGCCTTGTAAAGACTGTGAAAAAGAAAAAGAATCGAAGATGCGTGAAGAACCAGAGCAGGATGTAAAAGAAATAAAAGTGGATAAGGAGGAGCGCAAGCAGGAGGAAGTAGCAGTAGTACCACAAGAAGAAAAAAAGTTAGCTGAGAGTGATAATGAAAGTAAAGAAAATGATAAGCCTTCTGTTCTGGTAAAATATTTTAATGTTCCTGTTATATCCTGTTTATAAAGTCAGATGTTGTTGATAACTGTGAATTTGTGTCAAGATCGCAATCTCCATAGTGGATTTAAACCAAGACAAAAAACATGCTGTAAACCTAATTGAGAACAATGCGTTTGAGCCACATTTATCCCGAGGTGCCTGTTTTAGGGGATCATGATGTCAAAATGTATGACTTGTTAGAAAGCAGCTGCAACGTTCCACTTATTTGGGAGACTAATTAGTGTGTGTCTTTATCTGTATCTGGGTGATGCATGTTCACAACTATCTACAGTGCTGATGCTATTATTTTGCATTTAGGCTCTCATAAATCTTGCTTTTACTTCTCCGCTCCAGCGAAACCAGTGAAGCTCTACAAAGACCTAAGCAGTACGAAGTACGCAGTGCTCTAACGTAGTTCAGTGCTTCTGAGAGATAAATGTTTATGGCTTTTCGTGGTCCCATGTGGAGTCAGTGGTTTTAGTGAAGGAAGGCCGGGGCAGTAAGCTGAAATGCTGCGCTGCGCAGTTTGTTCTGGAAGCAGCGTAGCTCCGCCGGTCAGCGTGCAACAACACAGCTCTAACGCTTCAGTGTGTGTGTGGCAGCCACCAGCCCTCGTCTGTCTGCTGGTGCTGACTCCGGGGCAAGTAGCAGGTGCCTGGTACTGATACCTCTGTGTCCTAAGTACTGTGAAGTGTTCATCTAAGGGATTGCTTTGCAGTTCAGAGAGCAGCCATGCCTTTATTATTGTGACAAAACTAGCTAGGGCACTGGCTGCAACTTCAGAGTCTGTTATGTTTAGCTTGAGATTTTCAGAACGCAAATCAGCAGAGGTGCTGTAGTTTTAGAACTTTTTTTTTTTTTTCTCATATAACTTCTCTGTGGTTTGTCTACCTTTTCTTAAATCCTTTGTATTTTCATCTCTCCTTGTAAGTTAATTAAAGGTTTCGTTATCCTAGGGAAACAAAAAAAATTTGCCAGATCCTGTGGGTACTCAGCCTGATCAAGAAAAGGACTTAAATGTAATCAAAACTGAAGATGAAGCCAAAAAAGAAGATAAAGAGGAGGAGAAGCTTAAAGAAATGGAAAATCCTACCATACATGCAGATGCTGAAGAAAAAGAAAAATCAGGGTAAGTTATGCCATTTGAGGTCAGCTAAGGCATCTGATGTGTGTACTCTTGTAATTAGAGCTTCAGATCAGACATTGCTATCATGAATTAGACTCGTATCTTCCAGAAATCTGTGTGTTCCTGACTTTGTTGTGGTTAGGGCCATTTATTAAAAAAATAGCAGCAGCTGAAGTTTTTATAGTGTCCAGGCCTAATTATTTATACACTGAGTGAGAAAAGACTGCATAAAGCATAGACGACTATTTGGCTTAAGACAAAGATATTGCATCCATGGCCATTAGTATTTGTCTGGTTAATTTTGGTACAAGTACATCACAAACTTGTGTTCTCCAGCTTCTCCCAGAGCCAATGGTGAGTTATGGGTAACATGGGAAGAGATGGAAATACCTTGCATAGCTCAGTAATATCTTTGCCATTAAGTAGGCATGATACTGGCAGGAGTGTCTTGTGCAGTCCTTCAGACAGGAGTTTTGGAAGTAGGAAATTGAAATAATAGGATGCTCATGGCCATATAATCAGTGAATGTGTGCAGGTCATCTCCCATTTCCCTTATGGAATGGGCAGGTTTTCCTGTTTTAGTGCAAAAACCTCCACAAGTGTTTTTTAGCATACATTTTGCAAAAATGTATGAAGTTTAAACCAGAATATAGCCTTTGCTAATGCCTAGTATATTAGCAGTTTATATTCTTGCAGTTAGGACCCTCATGTGTGATTTCAAGTGATAAGAACTCAAAAATAGCTGTTACAGGTCAGATCGAAGGTTTCTGTGAATACAGTGTCTTGTCTTCAACAGCAAACAATAACAGATGTTTAAGGGAAAAGCTATTACCAAGAGCGAGAGTGGATAATGACACCTCTTTGTATTTTCACAGCAATCTGTATATCAGGGATGGGTTTTTTGATACTTAACTGCCAGCTCTTGCCTGACCCCTAATTCAGTTATTTGTTTCAGCAATCTTTACTATTTAGTAGATCAGCTGTCTTAGTCTCCTGTCTAAATATCATGAACTCCTAATGCTTTTTCTGGCCCATTAAGAGTTGTGACAGAACAGTGTAGTTCATCGTATTGATTTCTGATTTGTTGGTGATAGTTCCTTTTTATTCTATTAAGTGATTTGGGCTCCATATAACAGAATCTGGAAGAATCCTTCTGTAAAATGTTTTTGTCTTCCTAAATATTTCCAGTGAGATTATGTTGGCAATTTCTGTAACTCAGAAATGCAGAATACAGAAAGATCAAGTTTACCTGAACTCAGTAGAGCCTTTTCCCCATGAATGTGATTTCATCTGTCCCCTGTATGAATATTTATTCTTTTAAAAGACCAATTGCTGTAATTTTTTACATTTGCCTATTTTAAGGTGAACTAGATGAGTTGTGCTGTAACAGGTTTGCTAGATTTTCAGAATTATTAAAGACTTATTTTACAATGCTACTTTCAAAACGTATAGTTAAATAGGTGAAAAACTTTGCACTACTTGGGGAAAGCAGCTTTTAAAGTTCCCTGAATATATCCCTGTGTGTATGTTTGTGGCATTACTTTGCATTTATTTATATTCCTGGAAAGTACAGTGGCTTAAGACTGACCATACTGCTATAGGAAATGGTACATAAAATTCTAAACTGCATTTGCTTTTCAGTAATCCTTTTATTAATTTTTAATACTTTATCCTAACTATCCTTTTTTCTGACATAAAAATGTCATTTTGAAATTGTCATTATGTATTATATGTCATTATGTATGATATATAATAATGTCATTAGGAAAATAACAAAAAAAGTATAGAAAATACTATTTCCTCTTATTTTTCCCCAATTCATTTGACTGTAATTGAGTTCTTTCCTGTACTTCTCTACTCATTCAGGGAAGACTCTTGTAACTTTTATTTTGCTGTTGTGATTCATGAAAGATCGTAATGAGTTGTTTAGAGTAGAAATAGAAAAATAGATATATGTGGGGATGATGTGGTCACTCTTGGGAATATGTTTCAAGAAATAACTTAAACTTACAAGAATGAAACATTTGTAGCAGTTAATAGTCTGTAAGTGTTTATAGGCAGTAGTGCTGTTAGCCTGGTTACTTTTCCTTTCTTCCCTCAAAGATGGATAGGAAGTACAAAGTGCATTTGTATCAGCTTTGAAGAGGTTTTTTAAGATGTCACTGTCGTCCCAAATGCTAAAGAGTGTTTTTAGCATTTATACCATAAAGGCATAAAGGGGCTTTGTGGTCCTGGGACGCTGGTGAGGACATTGTACTAGACATTGTAGTCCCCCTATCTCCAACTTTATAGGTTGGAAGTGGCAAAGATTGTATGTAGAGGGGGAAATGCTGTGGTTTGAGTTCTTTGCAGAACTGAAATATAAAAAGAAAAAAGCCTTTTGTTTTTTTCTTTTTCTAATAGGTGGAAAACTAATCACGCACACAAAAAATACCTGAAGTATAATCAAAATAGATCACTGTGGACTGAATTTCTGTCACTGTATTTAAGATGTATTCCTGGAACTTTTTTTAACCTTTGGACCATCTATCTTTCACAGTCCTAACGAAATACCCAAACAAATGAAATCTAGTATTATATAAGTCAAACTTTTCCTATTTGAAAAGTTTGCTATTTGAATTTAAGTCTGTAGGGCTTTGGGCATCTTTGTGTAGCTTTTATTTGTGTAGAGACACAAGGAACCAAGATGACAGAAAAACTTCTGGGTTTCTTCTTGCTGAATTTCTGTAGGGTGGACTGGATTTAATTCCCAGCTTCCAGATCTTGGGAAGTACTACTGGAAGCCAGGGTTGTTTATTTTCCACAGTAGTTTTTTTCTCTATGCAATCACGTGTGTCTCCGCCCTTTGAGATTGCTGATACTTGAATCTTATGGTCACTTCTGCACAGAACTTTAGCAATATGGTGAAGAGGAAAAACAGCTGAATGCAGTTCTCTTCCTTTCTTCCACCCAGTTCTTGTTTCTTGCATGTTTATGTATGAACACTGAGAACAGAGATTCAAAGTTAGCTTGCCCCTTACTCTGTACATACTTTTCTTTTTTTTTCTGTGGCTAGCGGAAAATGTATGTACCAGATAAGATTTTGTGCAACTTCCAGTCATAAAACCAGTAAAAAAGGCCAGTAATGTGTTGTTTCTCATTGGTCTTTCCCAAAGAGATCTTTACAGAAATGGCTTTGTAAACACATCCTTGTTCCTAATGTACAAAAAAAGTATTCATTCTTAATGAATAAACATGAAGGTTTGTAATCCTCCTTATTTTGAAGTTCCTGCTCACTTCACGTTGTGGAAGCAATGGTCTTCAAATGTGGCATTGGATACTTGGTGCAATTTTGCTTTGTAGTATCTAGCATGAACTATTGTGACTGTTCAAAGACTTGAGTAAAAGCTAACAAATCAAGAACTGGGGAGATGTTCTACATAATGAACGATGCAGAGAGTTCAATGTGTTCCCAAGAGACTGAGGCCCGGAACCTAGCAGAGTTGTGTTAAAAGGTGTGGGTTTTTTAATATAACCTAATAAAATATAAAGTTCATAGTAGATACAGTTTGTGAACTTAAGCATGGGCTAGTTGCTCGTTAACCAATATTAGTAAGAACTTTTTTTTCCCAGGTGCTTAATTCAAGGGGTAGTCTTGCTGGGGATTTTTGTGTGGGTCTTGTTTGATTGTTTTGGTTTAACACTTTGGTCTATAGTACCTGGGACAGTCCGCTGTCAAGAACTTTATACTGAACTGAAAGGTTAAGTGCTCAGAATCTGGATGGTAGTTTTTAGTTTCTAACAAAAATTTGCGTCAGACTTGTGTATTGGTAGTACTTGATTTTTTGAGGTGAGCAGGCAAAATTCTTTGAAGTAATTTCAGTTCCAGTACGGCAAGATTGCAGAAGGCTCTGTTCTTGTGTTTTCCTTCTTTTGGCTGTGGTGCTGCCTTAACCTTAACACCAGGAGTGACTGCCATCTCTAGCTCCTCAGTTTGTCCTCTCTCACCAGGCTGTCGTTTTCAGTACTCACAAATAGGTCTTACTTGGTCGTATGAAATGTCTTGAATTTTCATTTTTTTCCTTCTTGAAAATTGCCAGCTTGTTTAGTCCTCTAATGCGTGAACAAATGTTCTTAAAGATTGCTTTAGAAACCTAAACCCTTCTGGTTGTTTCATGCTGCCAGTTTAGCTCTTCATGGTATAGTTTTCTGGGAATTGGTACTGTCATACTTTGAGAAAATGCTAAATAAACCTCTTTAGCTAATAATCTTGAATGGAATTAAACCTTTTGTTCACACACAGCGGGGGGAAATCTTAATCTTAGAGCTGTTATATACATTATTACATGCAGTAATAGTATTTCCCTCCTGTGAGCAGGAGGAGGGAGCTAAGAATAATAAAAGCAGTAGCTGAAAACTAGGTTAAGATGGTCATTGTTTCACGTGAAGGGTTTTTCTAGGGTTCACCGTTGTAGGGAATGGTGACTACCTGTTGTGTCTGTGCTGGTGATGGTTTCTGTTTGTACTGGAGTTAAATTTCTTGGAAACAGTTGATCGGGATTTTCTGAAAGTAGTTTACAATGGGATTATGTAATAGTCAGAAGCTCCATTTTGCATATGGGAGACAACAGATTGTTAGAGGCAATGTTTTCTTCAATTCCGTGTCTGTTAAAATGACATATCAAAGCTTTGTCAGTGAATCTAAAATGGTATCAGGAAGGTTAAAATGTTTTGGAGTGAAGGAGGTTTTATACAGAAAACATCTTGCCTCTGGGCTAGTATTGAGAACTGTATACTGAGATAGCTTTCTCCAGTCTGATTTAGGTTTATATGGGATTGATTAGCTTGGGAGAAGGAAGAGAAATGTGTTGTATTCATTACACAGTTGGTGTGAACATCTGCTCTGAATGTTGATGTGTATGCAAAAAATACATTTTAAGAAGCATACTTAGGTAGTTTCATTTATAGGAACATATTTCTATGCTCTTATTTGTGGTGTGTGTTCTATTTATGTATTCCAGCTG